TAACTTATGTTCAGGTATTACGGTTAAATTCTTGTCATCTTGTGTCATCTAAAAGTGTATTTTTTAAATAAAATTGTTTATTACATCATAGAAAGATTTTTAAAAAAAGAAGTTTTTAAAAGGTATTTATTGATTATAGGACCATAAATCATAATTTACATTAATAACATCACCATAGATAAAAGATTTGTTTTATAATTTTATAAGTTATCAGTATTTTATATTTAGCAATTTTTGTTTTGCAGTTTTATTAGAGAAAGATTTACTAACTTTAAATTGCGTTAACTTTTTTGTATTTTCAGAGATGATTTGACTAATTTGACATTTTTTTAATAAAAACCAATAATTATATATATAGGATTTTTTACGTGATAAACGAACCAAAATAATATAACATTAACATAATTAATAATATAACATTAACAAAATAATATAACATTAAAATAATATTAACATTGTATTAAAGGATCAGCTGCACAACTTAGTTTATAAATGACTTGTTTATATTATTTTTGAACTTAGTATTTTAGAAACGTTGATCCATTTTCCTGGGAAGTCTAGCTTTAACTAGCTTCAACTATCGTGTTTGGTTGTTGCGTTTTGTTATTGTTCAGTTTTAATGCTACTTTGAAATTTTTATATAGAATGTATAGAAATATATTTTTATATAGAAAGTTTATATAGAATATTAATAACTAACAACTTAAAAAACTGATTCTGATACCTTTACTAATTACAACCCTTTTGAAGAGCAAAACACGCATCTGCACATACAGACCATCTAGTCTGTAAGAGACTTTTTGGAACCTTAACACTTTTTCCAGTTTTGATATTAAGTAATGCGTCAAAACAGAAAAGTGTTATGCAGTTGTTGTAGATAGTCTAAGAAAAAAGCAGCTACCACACTAACTAGATTTAAAGAATGGCCGGCGCTTGGAGCTTATCAGCTAGTAAGTTTAACTCCTTAAAATGGCCTTGCAACCCAATGTTGTAACAGGTATTAGAGAAGTTTACCTATGACTGTCCAAGGCAATCACTAATTTTAATGCCGTGCCTCTCTAATGTCTTTTTGATAAGACTTAGCATATTAGCTACCCCGTGACCCCTTATTGGAATAAATGATAAAAATTCTTCAGGCATTACATATAAAATAATAAAAATGAGTTGACCTACGTGCAAAATGCCTGTGGTTGAATCAACGTTAATTGAATAATATTCGGCAGCTTTAAATTTAATAACTATAGGAAAGAAATATTTACAATAAAAAAAGTTTTGTCTCAAACTTAGAACTCTTTTTAAAGTAAGTTTAATATTAAAATAGAAATACAAAAGCAATTTATAACTATTAATTAGTTGTATAAGCGAATTGCCAAGTTACTGGATGAACTCTTCGCAAATGTTAGCTGATAAATAGGAAGTGTTGTCTTTACCTTGGTATACTTGGGTGTTTATATATTTAGGTAAAAATGGGTTGTATAGCTAGTTACTCTAATGAGCCAAGGAAAATTCCATTATGAAATGATCCAATTTTCTAGTCTGTTCCACAAAATGCAAACACTTCGATGCGTCATGCATAAAAAAATAACTCGTTAGATTTTTGTTAATACATAGATATTAATAGACCAATGAATTAAAAAGCTAAATAATCCTAAAATATAATTAAACTTTACCGAAGAGTATCTTTCACCAAAATTCAATTAAAATATAATTAAACTTTACCGAAGAGTATCTGTCATCAAACCTCTCAACGCTGCATATTTTTTCGATATTCTAATTCACTCTGAATCTGTTTAACAAAGTTACAATCAACTCTGGAACTGCATTCGCTTCGATTCACAAAGGTAGAGGAAGCATATGTTCAGCAGATTGCTCATGCTCACTGATTTCCTTATGTGTAACTTTCCAGCTTTTGCTCAAAATCTTTGCTTGATTAAAAACTATTTGTTCTCTTGAAAAAGAAGAGAGCTTTGCAGTAAAACACTTAGCAAAATATACCAGCCGATTACGTTTTTCCAAAGTTGTATCTACCGGTTTTTGTAATAATACATCAGATTGTTTTTTTGCAAAAAATATTGTCAACTTTGACAAGGACACAACAATATTTATTACTGTTATCTAAATTCAGTAAACACACAATGTAATAATATTACAAAGTAAAAAAAATAAAAAAAGTTCTTTCCAGTGATTTTTAGTTAAAATTCTTTTTTCAAAAATTTGTTAAAAAATTTCTCTTTGCTTTTTTGCATTCCAGTATCTCTACTACAAAATTCTTTCAATGTGTTTTAAAACATTCGAAACTGATTTCAGCGCGCTTCTTCCAACTCTATCTAACTTTTTTATTAGTTCGTCGCTATTCTCACATAACTCCATTCTGTAAGTCAAGGTAGGCACTGTAAATGATGTATATATAAAGGAAATGGAACTTGGGTGGGTAAACCGGATTCCAGACTGAATAAGTATTTATGCAACGGCTCTAAAGTTTGAGATTTTTTTATCCACATTTGAACAACTGAGTAATGCAAAAATTTAATATTTGAAGTTCCATTTGAACCACATGTGTTTAAGTTTGTTGTGGAGATTTTTTTTAATATCAGAAATGCTCATCGTATTGCTTTGTGACTGTACATTATCTGAAATCAAGAACTTAGCCTTTAAATCAATTTTACAATTTAAACCACTGTGAATACAGTTATCCATTGATAACTTCTGACTTATTTTTTTATCCTGAAAGTTTTGATGATTTTTTACTAATAAAGTTAATTTCTAATAACTCTAATTTCCAAAGGGCCAAAGAAAATAATTCGACAAATGTTTGACTAACACCAATTCCCGTTAAGTTGAACTTTGGCTGATATGATATATTAGTTTGAGTTAAGGCGAAAGCATCCTTATTTAATGGTGAAGTATATATTATATATAATAATTTAATTTTTATTATTATACTATTGCTTCAATGAAAGAAGGTACGGATTGTATTCAAAAGAAGGTACGGATTGTATTCAAAAGAAGGTACGGATTGTATTCAAAAGAAGGTACGGATTGTATTCAAAAGTACGTACAGTCAAAATTTCACAAATCATCTAACTCTGTTAATTTACCACTTCAGCTTCCCAAGCTTATGATCAACAGCATAAATATAAAAAGAGACCATTCGATGAAAATCCTGGGAATTATTTTTCAAGAAAATCTTAGTTGGAAGAATCATATTTTGCACATCGAAAATAAAATCTCCAAGTCAATCAGCATCATGCATAAAATAAAACACCTTCTAAATAAAACTTGCTTAAAAAATATATATTATTAGTTCATTCACAGTTATATCAACTATTGCAATATCGTTTGGGCAAGCATATACTCTTCAGTACTAAAAAAGATATATGTAAAACAAAAGCAAGCGTGTCGAATTGTATGCAGATAACAGATATACCCATGCCAAACCATTAATCAAGAAAATTAGAGCTCTAAATGTTTATGAACCAAACTTTCTCCAAAATGTATTATTCATTATATATGTTTCAATCGCAAAACAATTTACTACCAAAATACTTTGAAAATCAATTTTCCACCATTGATCACAAATACCCAACAAAGTACTCTTTTCAAAACTTTAGTATTGCAAAAACTTTACTTAAAATAACTGATTTCTCTATCTTATCTCGAAGACCGCGGCTATGGAATTCGATCCTTAAAGAAGAAAAAAAAAATGAAGTCATCAAATCTCTTTAAAGCAGCTGTCAAACAGCACCTGTTTAACTTAAGTGACGTCAACAACTCTCCTACTTTTAGAGATCAAATTAATAATAACTAAAACGAACTTATCCCTTTTAGATGACCACAAACGATGATTATATTACAATACAAATAGTTTTTCTTTCCTATACCCGTCTATCAGATCGTTACGTACAAGGCTTTGTTTTTTACGTACAAGACTAATTATTTGCTTTATTTCTACTTATGAATTTTTAATGTCACGTTAAACTCACCTGAAACTTATTGCAAAGTCGCAAATGAAAGGGGCTTGATGATAAGACTGCAGTCTTCTACTTGCTCCTGTCATTATTTTAATTTTTATCTTACTTATCAATGTATACATGAATTAAAGTTAATTGTATGTAAAAAATATAGTGACGAAATAAATTATATAAAAAGAAAAAAAAAAAAAAAAATCATTTGACTTTATTTGGTAATAAAATTGCGTTTAAAAGGTAGCGTACTTCTATTTATAAACTCCTTAAAATTATAAAATAATTGTTAAACGGTTTTATTATGATTCAACTTTTATCACTTTTATTATTGTATTATCTTATGTAGGATTCAAATCTAAATACAGAGAAAAAAATAAAGAAACTATTACATTCCTTTATGTTTTATACAAAAGTGGCTTTTTTTTTTAAAAAAATGTCATTAAATTTAATTCTTATACAACAAGTTCGATTTATAGAAGGTTTGACTTCAACGGAGAAATTCAATAGTAATTGATTAGACAATTTCAAGGGATCAAATAAAACAGTTGAAGATAATAAATGTTCAAGTTAACCGGTATTCGACTTACCGGGAATTAACTACATTTTGACTAATAAAATTATCTCAAATATTTTACTTAAAAAAAAAAGAATTTAGAAAAGTTTTTTTATAAATTTTTTTTTTCTTCTGTACCTGATTTTTACTTTTGCTCCTCCATTGTTACAATAAAAAATTTTAACTATAAAGTTATTTTAATGCTGATAAAAATCTTTTAAGCAAACTTTTCAAGACGGAATATAACAAAACATAATATAACAAAATTTACACGCTTGTTGCACAAGTTTCGCCATCCCTGGTGTAAACAATGCCGCAGAAAAATTTTCTTTTTTCAATATATATACAAGAAAATTGCTTATTTTCCATCTCTAAACCTTTACTTATTTATTATTTAAATATTTACTTGCTTATTAATTATAATGCGTATAAAGAGGATCTAATTTCTTTTTAAAAATAAAAAAAATCAAGAAAACCATACAAAAAAAACGTGATTATATTTCAATTAATAATAATTTTATGTTTTTAAAAACTTTATATAACTTTTTTGTAAAAAACAAGTAAAAAAATCATGACTGTAAACTTTAATACATGTTGCTTTAGATACATTTTTTACATAAATAACAAAACTATTTTAAATATAATCACGACCATTAAATAAAAAAATCAAAAGAAATAAAAATCCTTTTTATCGTGCAAACAAAAAGTCACCAATAAAATAAATTTGGTAACGAACTTACTTTTCTACATTTTATCGTGCAAACAAAAAGTCACCAATAAAATAAATTTGGTAACGAACTTACTTTTCTACATTTTATCGTGCAAACAGAACTTAACAATAAAATTTTTTCTATTAAAGTTTGCTGAAAAGTTCGTTGTGATTCCATCCTAACAACATATCTGCAACAACATTTGATCGATCTTGCCCAAAAACAACAGGGCCACCATTCACTTGATAAGTAGGTAAGCCACAAACTCCTTCATCGAGAGCTCTATGACAGAAAATAAGTCTGAATAAAAAAAAAATAAGCATACATCGAAACATATACAAACTAAAGCATAATTTAAACATTAAAAATAAATTAAGAAAACTTAAGAAAACAGTTCAGCGGTTCAAAGGTTTTCAGCGGTTCGAAATGGCTCAGCTGTTTCAGACAGTAATTTTAAGGAATTTACACTGTTAAATAAATTTAATGTAATTTAGAATGAATTGACTTAACTGTTCAACCCGGAAAACGGTAAACCTCAGTACCATGCTGCTGCCATCTGGAAACACAGATCTATATATAAAGATATTGTACCATGCAATTTTGACTGAAGCAACCCATAATTCCGATAACAAATATACTTTTAAGCTATATAATTATAACTTAAAACACAACTTTCTAGGATCCGCATAATATTTTTTGAAACAAAAAATATTATGCGGATCCTAGAAAGTTGATTGTTGTAAACTGGAAAAGCAAAATGAAAAGTATTAACAAATTGTCCAACGGATTAAAAAACAAATTTTAATTATTATTGTTCTTACAACTTACAGAAACTTCGAAAAACAAGGTATGCGAAAAAATAAGTTGAATGAGGTATTACCAGAAATGTGATGAGGATCAAACTCAGAAATGACACAAAAAATACTAAATCATTAGTTATTAATTGATTATTCCACCAAGCTGTGTGGTTTGTAGTTAAACATGTTTCATATTTAAAAATAACAAATTACAAATTTTTTTTCACTAATTCAGGTATTGAATCGGGGTAGTCTCTCTTTTCAAACCTTTATTCTTGACGTCCGAAATTCGGGATTATAGGGAATAAGCAAATTGGGATATATAGGGATATGCGCTTCGCAGTGTACATACATCAACTGATTTATTTAGCCGAGGGTTTTGGTTTAGGCAGGTTATTTTGAACTAAATGAACCATCTTTTTCATGTTTGCGGACTTAAAGGAGACCGTCGGAATATAGGTTTAATAAGAGAGCTTACCTTGAATCGGTTTTAACACGTTGCATATGGAAGACGAGTATACTCGTCGAACGAAACTCTCCTTGCGTACAGACGAATATACTCGCTTGGCTTTAAATGCTATTAATTTTTTATTCCGAGAGTCTCTGAAATTGCTTTTAAATCTTAAATTAAACATCCCATCTGTTAAGTTTTTAAGTGAGAAAATTTCCACATTAGGCGAGTCGATATTTCACTTTATCTTTGATTTTAAATAAAATGCGCATGTTTTACGGTTTTTAGAGGCAAGATATCGTCAATATACATATTTAAGGTATATTTTGAAAAAAGAAACCTTAAATATGTGAAAATATTTGAAAATATTACAGATTTAAAGATAACATAAATATTACATATCATGTGCATCGCTCAAAACCGTTGATGCGTCATCTGTTTTTCCTATGCTTCAGTGATACAATCTAAAACATCAATACAGATATCTGGTAGGTTAGAGCAGTATCCGCATGCATTTCTTGATTATTTTCTTACTTGATTTATACACTATGTAAATTTCTTTGTAGATTTTTTTTTTTCTACCCTGCGAAATTGTCAATAAGTAATGGAAACTTTCCATTGGTCTTCTTGCAGATGGTTTTACTTGAATTAAACTTTTTATAATATTCTCTCGAAACGCAACAAGATGGCGAAACCCTTTACTATTTGAAAATTCGGTATAAAGATAGAAAAAATTATTTAATATCATTTCCAGGAAATTGACTCCTTTTTTTTTGTACCACTCTAAAGATTTCAAAGTAAATAAGTCGTTATTCAAAGTAACTAAGTCAAGTCATTTAATTAATAGTAAACTACTAGTTCGCATTCCAGCCCTTATTTGGAGATTTTTGATATATTCACCTCTTGTACGAGATCTATTGCTTTTTAAATAACAGAACTTTTACTTTTTAAATAACAGAGCTAATACTTTTTAAATAACATATCTAATATTTTTTAAATTTAACCTGAACTACTTTTTGCCTAATACATTTTAAAAGCAAAATAAGAGTCAAAATGTTGCATTAATTTCATTAACAGCAACAATACGTTGTAATAGTTTTTTTAACTGCATTATTTTTGGAAACTGACAATGTAGAAAAGACAATGTAGAAAAAAATTAAAAGACAAAGCCTATGTATAATAAATTGTTACACAGCTAGGGAGTTCAAAGGTTGATGGTCTGCGGTTCAGAAAATATGTTAACCTCTTAAGGCAAATGCACTTTCATGCAAAGATTCATAGAACTATTATTACATCAACTGAACAGTTACATTAACACTAATTAATTTGTAAAACTTTTTCTTTTTAACATTTTCACTAGAATTATTAATTCTAGTAAAAATGTTAAACTAAAAAAATGCTAAAAATTAAATTTTTTTATTCTTTAGCATAAATTATCCTACTAAAAAAACATTCTTTTGAATTTTTGTTTCTTTCTCAAAGTATTCTTTTTAAATAAAAAAAAAACATTTTATTTTTCTAGCATTGTCTTAGTTTATCTTTTTTACTAAAATTTTAACGTTAAAAAAAATTTGTTAAACTAAAAACCTAAAAATATCAAAACAATAATAATGCTGATGATGATGATAATCATGATCATGCTGCTGATGATGATGCTGATGATGATGATAATGATGATGATGATGCTGATGATGACAATTACAATGATGATGATGATGATGATGATGATGATGATGATGATGATGATGATGATGATGATAATCATGATGCTTCTGCTGATGATGACATTGACAATAATGATGACGATGACAATGATGATGATGATAATGATGATGATGATGATGATAATGATGATGATAATCGTGATGCTGCTGATGATGATAATGATGATGCTGATGATGACTATGACAATGATGATGATGATGACAATGATGATGATGATGATGATGATGATGATGATGATGATGATGATGATGATGATGATGATGATGATGATAATGATGATGATAAAAATAATGATAATGTATAGTTTAATATCTTTAAACATTAACCTTCGAACTTTTTTACCTCTGTGTATTTTTTTTAAGTTGCAACTTGACTTCTTCAGTATTTGCTTCTCTCATTAATTGATCAGAATTAAACCCATTTGAAGACAAAATCTCGCGAAGTACCTGCATAATAAATGTCTGCAAAATTACTTTTTTTAATTTTTCAATTGTTTTTAAATTTAAAGATTTTATTTTTACATTATTTCAGTTACAATTTGTTGTTAAAATTAACTAAGATTTAATGTTAAAATAAACTTTGAATCAGCAAAAATATTGAAGTAAACAATAAACTGATAAACTTCCTCACTGAGATATTATATATTTATACAATAAAGCATACATTTTTTTAAAAAAAAACTAAAGTTTCAAGCAATGAAAATATATATATTTATAACCTCATCATTACTAATGTCCTTATCATTTAACCAAACAGCATCAACTAAAAAAAATTTCAATAGATTAAATGTCAACAAATATCATTTAATTTAAAAAAGTTCACAAAGTAATTAAAATGGTTTCTAAATTTACAACTACCTGTCAGTAAAAAATGAATTATCAGTAAAAATTTAAAAATTTAATTTTGTTAGTATAAAATTTAATAATATATAAATAAATTACTATGGAGTTAAAGAGCAGTCATGACAATTCGACGATTTGCAATAAGTGTTTCTAGATTATATAAAGTAGATTTTAAAAAAATATTTAGAAGAGGTAAAAATTGTTTTTATGCTTTCCAAAAGGCCTTAAAATGCAATATATCAGCCTTTTAAGACAAAACGAACCGAAAGAAAAATAAAAGGTTTTTTAAAAAAATCAAATAACAATATCAGATCTAAAAGACAATGGCAGCAAGAACTTTTAACTTTATTTAAAGTTACTTTTTGTTAAATATTTTTAAAACTTTGTACAATTGTGTAAATTTTTAAAACTTATATTTAATTTACTTTGTAAAATTCTCTAAAATAAAGGAAAAGAACCGTTTTGACAAATTAAATTTTATATCATATCTTTAAAAGTATATTTAAATATATTTATATTTTTTTATATTCATATAATAAATAAAACTTACAGCATCAGAAACTCTGTACCAGACCACTGCCTAAAGGAGCAGTGGTCTGGTAAAGAATTCATGATGCTCTATCAATAGCACATCAGGAGCACTTCTCTCACTTTTTTGTTTTTTATATTATGTTTATCTTTAGTTGAAATTTTATTCCCTTTATGTGTACTTTTCTGATGTTAGTTCTCCTTTATGTGTACTGATCTGATGTCGATACTCCTTAATGTGTACTTCTTTTCTTTATCTAATGTTGGAAAATGCGAGATTAGTTCTTTAACTTTTTTTCGTAAATATAACATATTTTGCAGGATCTTAAAAGTTTGTACACAACAAAAACTTTTAGCAAAAAATCTTTTAGAATAAAAACTTTTAGGAAGAGAAGGTTTATTTTTTGTGGTATGTTATAAAATTGTATAAATAACAGGTTGAAAATTTTTATTGTAAAATTTTCATGGAATATTTTTATGGTTGCAGTGTCAGTTCTGCCTCAGTTGAGTAAAAGCAAGAATGGAAATCGTCAATCTTTTAAATGACTATAATATTGGAACCGGTATGTGGAATAGTGTTATTTTCATAAAACACTCTGCAAATTCAATAACGTCTCAAATCAAAAAGTCCAGACTCCAAAGTTTACAAATCAAAGATGTGTTCATATAAGAAGTGGCAGTGTAAAGGACATATATCTTAAAGCACTTGAATTTTTTTAAAGATAAATTTTGATGTAAAGTAATGATAATTTCAACCTTTATAACTTATATCTAAAAGCTTTTATTAAAAATGGGTTGTATCATATCAGTAAAGTATTTTGAAATTTTAATCAAAGCTGTTCATATATTGTTTATAATAACTTCCATCAGTTTTTTATAGTTTGTGGGCTTTTATGACATTATAAAAGTGAGATGGTATAGCATCACTCAGGTAAGAATTTTTTATCATTTAATAACTTGCATTATTTAATTTCCTAAGTGTATTTTGAAATTTACAAATTACTTGTGGAGTCGGATTCTAGTTTAGTTAATTTGTTTTGGTTTCTAAATATTCATGCAAATATCTTGACTTTGACTATCTTACTTCAGTAAAAAAAAACTTTTCTATTTTACTTCAGTAAAAAAAAAAACTTTTCTATTTTACTTCAGTAAAAAAAAAAACTTCTCTATTTTACTTCAGTAAAAAAAAAACTTTTCTATTTTACTTCAGTAAAAAAAAAAAAAAATTCTGTTTTACTTCAGTAAAAAAAAAACTTTTCTATTTTACTTCAGTAAAAAAAAAAAACTTTTCTATCTTAACTTCAGTGAAAAAAAAAACTTTTCTATTTTATTTCAGTTAAAAAAAAAACTTTTCTATTTTACTTCAGTAAAAAAAAAAACTTTTTTATTTTGCTTCAGTAAAAAAAAAACTTTTCTATTTTACTTCAGTAAAAAAAAAAACTTTTCTATCTTACTTCAGTAAAAAAAAAAACTTTGCTTATTTTTGATAATTTAATAATTACAATCAAGTGTAATGGCATCATTTTTGGTTTTGTCCCAATTGGTTATTTTATATATTTGCAAGCAAATTGCCACAATACTAAAATAATGGTTAATTTAATATCCAAAACTTAATTAAATATCCAAAACCCAACTGGGACATTAATGTAGATTTTAAAATAATTGATTCTTTCTTAATCAGAAAAAAGATTTTGGAAAATTTCCATGTTAAATTTGCATATTGAGAAGAGTTAACACAGAAATTGGAAACAACAAAGTATAAGTCAATGCAAATTTTTAGAATGTCAAAAACCTTTTTAATCTTTATGCATAAAGTTTTATTTTATGAACAACCATCTTGACCAGTGTCTTGATCATCAGTAACCATCAGTAACCATCAGTGTCTTGATCATCAGTAACCATCAGTAACTATCAGTGTCCTGAAATACTAGGATATATAAGTAGAGAATTGTTGAAGCATCAATCAAGATGACTCGAAAAAATTTTACCAACAAATGAGATACAAGTAAAAATTATTTTACAGCTAAGTACAATTTTTTCTGCAATTTTTTTCAAAACATAAGTTTTCCTTATTTTTTTATAAACCTTTATAAAATTTAAGGCTTTGATAAAATTATACTTAACATAAATATGTATATTATAAACATTATAATATAAAAACATAATATAAATATTTACATTAAATATCATTTCATCAAAGCCTCTATTTTATATAATAAACATATTATAATATGTATATACTTTTATATATGTAAATATGTGTACAACATTAATAAATATCATATATTATATTTGTAATAAATATCAAATATATATAATAGGATATTTATTATAACGCCTTTTATATATATACATATGGTATTTACTATTATATCTTATATATATATAATATATTATATTTACATCATATGTATAATATATGATATTTATTATAAAATCTTATAAAATACATATTTATTTTTTTTTATCATTTATCTATTTTTATTCTACTTTTAAAAAAAAGAAAAAAAAAAAAAATTCAAACTTGCGCTAGCATATTTATCATTTTCATTCTTTTTCATCTTACACTTTTTTTTAAAGCTTTTTTAAACACCCATTAAACACTCATTGTATAGTAATCCAACCCTCAGAATCAGAAAAATTAAGGTCGGCATCAGGTTGGCAAAAAAAATTTGATACAAAGGTCTAACCATAAAAAATTGAAACGAGATCAGCAAACACTTTTAGGTCGGCAGTTAGGTCGGCCCTAATCCCAAGGGTTGGTATTTTTAAAACAAATAAGAGAATCTCGTTTTTTTTTATTAAGTAAATAGTATAAAAACTTATTCTTTCTTTTATTAAGTTTAAAACTTGTTCTTTCTTATTCATAGTGAGTTTTCTTTAGGTTATAAAGTAGAAAATAGATGTTACAGCAGTACTGATAAAGAACTTCTGACAATGAAAGAATTTCAGAGAGACTAGAAATGTCAGACTGCCCTACTTATTTCGAGTCAATATACTATAATGGTTGTAATGCACTATTTTTATAAGCAAAAGGTATGGGTTCAAACCAACCAACATCCCTAAAAAAACTATAATTTTACTGTGTATTATAGTAGCACCCTGGGTGCATCATAGTAGCACCCTGGATGCATCATAGTAGCACCCAGGATCTTGTGAAAGTGGAAATAGAAAAACAAAAATAAACAAAAAACTATATTTATTACTTAAAAGTTTTATTGATCAACAACCAATCATCGCTTACAAGTTAAAAAGCAATTCAAATTAATTCAGATAACATTTCAAACAACAACTTACAAATGGCATTGATTAAATCAGGTTTGTTGTGTGCAATAGCTAATCTACATGCAGTTAATGTTTTCAACGGAAAATGAGATGAAAATCGGAAACCTTTGATTTCATGATAGTTTAACCAATCATTAAAATCTTTTGGAAAATAATTTCTTTTACTCTCTGATACTAGCATGGGAAGCTAAAAAAGAAGTTAAGAAGTATTAAAAATAACTTTTAAAAAATATTCTGTGTTTTAATAATTAAAATTCAAATTTTTAATTTACGCTGTGTTATACATCGAAAATATTTCATCAGCATACAAAGCATGTGTGTTAAGGAAAATAAAAACATGCAAACTAAGAAAAAGAAAGTTATTTTAAATAAACAATCAATTGTAAAACTAGATTATATCTCAGCTTTTTTTATTATTTACATTAAGCTGCTTTACTGTAAATATTTTGTCATGGTATATACAAACATGTACAATAAAACACAATACATACCATAGGTGTTCCGATGCTGTTAAAGATAACACCAATAAGCACTGGTACATACTCAATATCTACTTGAACAGGAGCAACAGATGATATGAGTGAATTCAACTAAAGAAATAATAAACAAGAACTTTCTATATTATACATTTATATTAAAATTAATATATTAAATATTTTATTTATATTATATTAATTATAAATTAAACTAATTAAAACCACATACAAAATGTTTATAATTTCTAATAATACAACTTCTATGTGTGTGTGTATATATATATATATATATATATATATATATATATATATATATATATATATATATATATATATATATATATATATATATATATATATATATATATATATATATATATATATATATATAAGGGTGGAGTGAAAACGTGAAAAAAAAAATTTTTTTGATTTGCTTGACTTTGGATAGTTTGATTTGCTTGACTTTGGATAGGATAGATAGTAATCCATTACTCCGTAAAAAAAAAATTTGAAAACCGCTGCAATGGTTCGTATGTCAGCTACATGCTAACGAATTACCGTTAAGGCATTTGTTCAAACATCTAGATAGACCTACCAATGGTCCAAAAGGATTTTCTGGTCCAATCGGCAAATCATTGGTGGCATGTGAGAAGCTTCCCGTTGTCAAATACACACCCATAAACTGTGTTCTACCGACAGGTTTAAATTCTGACGATTTAAGTACAGATCAAAAATATCTGTTTGACTTGTGCACCGCTGTCAGTGTTGGCATTTGTCCTGTAGGCCTTTCACTTCGCAATCCTGGTGTTATCAATCATTCAAGATGGTTAACAACGGCTAATCGAATCTTGTGGCTATATACAGGTTGTACGCCTGTATATAGCCACAAGATGCCCATCGGATGAATTGAAGACAATGGTTACCTTCATCGTAACAGTTTATGCACCAGCATGGTTTGAAATAAAAAATACTTCTTCATGTAAAGATGGCGCTCGACATGTCCATAATACAATACTGAAATACGAGCTGAAGAAAGTTGTTGATCCAGTAATTCAACGCAACGCATTTTTTACTTATTCAGAAAACCTGTTGCTTGCGATGCTTACCGACGAAAATTCAGAAATACGCGAGTTGGCTCTAAGACGTATAATGAAATCCAGGAAGCAGAAGTGCACGAGTTCAGTTAGATCTTTCTGTGTGCCAGTAATCAATTTTGAAGCTACCAGTTACATAGACATGATCGATTGGCAAAAAACTCCAATCACAGAGCCTCCAATCGTAATGGACATTGATGACGATACTTTTTTAACCATGATCCGGGAAGAAGATACACCAAGACTGGATTTCGTCCGCTATCCTTGTCACACTCAGTTGGTAGAGAGGCATATTAAGCTAGTTACAGAAGCTTCCCAAGCGGTTTGCGGTCCAGAAAAACGCGACGGATTCATAAGAGCACGTTTGGAATTGAGATCAAAAATGCCGAAACTGGACACTAAAGCACAACATCATTTGTAGCTATAAAAACATGTTTGACTAGAGTTTTCATGTGTTTTTCTTTTCAAATATTTAGTTCTATATACTTGTAACTTTCGTATAGACTGTTAAAAATGTATGCTGCTACACAAATATGTTGTCATATATAAACTTGAAATTTCAAAAAATATTGTTTTTTATTTGAAATATGCCTATAATTCAGGTCAATTGTGGAACCTCAAGATATGCTTTAAATCGTTTGACTGTTTGCCACATTACTAATTGCATATGTCAGCAAATTTTTATAGCTATCCAACCAAGATATTCAACAAAAAAAATTTTCACTCCACCCTAATATATATATATATACATATATATATATATATATATATATATATATATATATATATATATATATATATATATATATATATATATATATATATATATATATATATATATATATATATATATATATATATATATATATATATATATATGTATATACAGTATCGGACAAAACAAGTGCAACCAAATAATGCTAATTTAGTTTCTTTATATAAAAGTGCTGCATTTTTCCAATTTAGAGAAATAACTATGTAACTGTTTAGAGACAATGTTCTTCAAATTTGATTCATCACAATGTTCATTATTTGTACACGAAAATTAATAAATTAAAAGTATTAAAAAAAGTTGATTTCCTTCTGGACAAAACAAGTTTCCTTCTGGATAAAAAAAGTTGATAACATTCATTAAAAAGAGATTAAGACGAGAAAAAGTTTTTTGTATTCCCAAAAAATTGTTTTCATTAAGAAAACAATACTTTGGGAATATTTTATGACACCCCGCATATTAAAATTTGTTCATGAGGGTCAATATGGGATGGGCTAATATATATGCATGCAAAAGTTAATAAAACTTTTATATATGATTTTTTTTTCTTTGTAATTTATTTTGTCACTATATATTTTACATACAATTAACTTTAATACATTTATAAATACAAGTATAGTTATATATATATATACATTTATAATGTATACATGATAAAAATAATGACAAGAGCAAGTAGAAGACTGCAGTCTCATCATCAAGCCCCTTTCATTTGCAACTTTTTAATAAGTTTTTTGTGAGATTAATGTGACATTAAAAATTCATAAGTAGAAATAATGCAAAAACTAAAAATTAAAAAACAAGCCTTGTACATAACAATCTGATAGATGAGTATAGAAAAGATAAACTATTTGTATTATGATACAATCATCGTAGTTTCTAAAAGGGATAAATTTATTTTTGTTAGTTATTATTACCTTGATATATATATATATATATATATATATATATATATATATATATATATATATATATATATATATATATATATATATATATATATCTTAAAAAAAATAATTGGCATTGTGAAGGAAGTCTAAGATAAAAAGTAAGTTTAAACTTGTTAAAATTGCATTTTTTAAATGCATTTCTTACAAGATCTTTGAAAATAAAATATTTGAAATATGTGCTTATAGCACATATTTCAAATATTTTATTAAATTAAGATAAAATTATCGTAATATATCTTTGTGAATGAAAATTTCATCTTTTCGTATTTAGGGAGAAATTAAGTTTTAATAATGATAAAATTTAAATGATAAAAAAATTTTTTCGGTCATTTTCAATCATAAATTAACATTTAAATACATATTATTTCAGTACTTATTTAGTAATGAAAAAATAGTCAAAAAACTGTATTTTGACCAAATTTTATGTGTTTCTAAATCACTGTGCATTGTGGGTATAAGTTTAAGAAAAAACTTGCAAATCAGATCATTTTACAAAAAATAAAATAAAAACACAAGTAAAAAAATCACATTTTCTTAATAAAACCAATTTTTTTTGAATTTTTTTGAAATTTAAGCATTTACAGGTAGATAAATATATATAAAATAGTTGCTACTACCTGGTCAAAATTCATTAAATTTCTGGTTGTCATTTTTAAATTTAACTTACTATGACCCTTCTCCCTTTAGTAGATTTCTGTTTGCTAAAAATTACATCACAATTCAATTATCAGCCAAATCCGATACTATAAACAACTTAATTAAAAGATTTTTAAAACCTTTATTAAATCTTTTAATTAGGCTGATAGTCTCCTAAGATTTTTGTATTACATTAATTGTATAACATTATATGGGCCATAACTTATTTTTTAAAAGAATTTTTGCTGTTATAACTGATTCGAGAAAACTTTTATGTTAATCATTCTCTAAATTTGAGATAAAACATCATAACTTTTCATACAATTCACTAAAAGCATTTTACAATGATAATAAGATCATATTATTATTTTACAATGACAACAAAATCAATTTTTTCAAACATTGTTATTATGTTATAATTCAAATAATTAACATTTTTGATAATTATTAAGTACTTTTACCAATATTTTTATTGCTATAACTTATACAATAACAAGCTGATTTTTAATTATTTAAAAGGGAGAAATAAATCCATTAATATCAGTCCTCACAGATAGAACTTCACATACATGAACTTTTTTTGTTAAGAATTTATTGTAGATTATGATATTTATTCTATGTTTACGTTGCTGAATTTCTTACAGAGTTCTAACGAAAAAAGTAATAGAATAGTTATTATAGTTACGACATGTTAATACAACTTTGTTTAGTTTTATTTTTAACTCTGTTCTTTTTAAATTCTATTTACAACTTTTATAAAAAAATTTTAACTTTTATAAAAAATTTTTAAGTTTTTATAAAAAAGCTTTAAAAAAATGTCTAGGGCATAATTATATACAAAAATAGCTTATGACTAGCAGTAAGAAATTACATCAATTAACTTAACAACATATAATGCATTCCTTAGTTACTGATGTAATGTTTGCAAATTTCATACCCAATTTAAATACTTTCCATTTATATTAGATCCTTGTAATAAAATTCAAAATGTATTTTTATATATGGTAATATTGGTGTATATATAAAATTTCCAGACTATTTGTATTTATCTTCAAGTAAAAAAATATTTGTTCGTCACTGATGTAACGCTGCAATCTGCTATTTTTCTAATATTAACATTTGACTTCAAGTTTCTTTAAAAGTTATAAAAAAAAAATTAAAAAAAATTACTTTGAATTAAAGACTCTAAATCTATATTGGTTTTCTATAAGAATTATTTTTATTACTTGATATTATCATTTACACTTTAGTTTATTGTTTTTTGATATTTCTGTTTAAAACCTTTATTTATATTTTATTTTATATATTTATTTTATTATCTTATATATATTTTATTTTATTTTAAATTTGTTATATTATTAGGTATTGTATTCACTACTCTCACTATCCATATTATTTCTTCAAAAATATTAGTGCTTTACAAATTCGAGTGAGGTAAAGGTTTTGGCTATTTTGTAGCGAAGTCCCTTTACCGCAGTATGGAGTAGACGTAAATTGCGGGGTAAAGCATAAATAGCGATGATGTTTATCTGACGGGGTAAACTAGGTATTGGTGCTAAGCCTCTTCGAAACGCCGGTAATAATAAACACGATTCTGAGGAGAAGTTTATTACCACCACCACTACATAAATTATGATTACACAAAAGCAATGTTTTTTCATT